ATTTGTAATGATGGGGAAAAGTGGTGGTTAGTTTTTGGCAAAGGTAGGGCCAGACGTTTTGGAGATACGGAGCAAAATGTGCAAAAAAATGCGGTTTTTGATAGGGCTAAGCATCCGATTTCAATGATTCAAAAAAAAATCTGCTTGTTTCGATAAAACAATTGCTTTTGAGGATAAAAAATTATTACATCTTTTTTTATTTTCCATAAAATATTTCTGTAATTTTGGATTAAAAATTAAAAAAATAACCCGGGCTAAGCACAGTCTAAGCGCCACTCTGGTACAAATGTTTACCCAAGTGCGTTTAGACAGTTTATGTGTGGAGCACTTTTCAAATTTTGTGAAAACTATTGGAAAATGTGAAAATGCCGCCAAGCTAAGCACAGTATAAGTGAAAATGTCGCACAAAATTATTTGCAAATGCGTTTAGACTGTGACTATATGGGAGCACTTTTGTTCAATTTTGTGTAAATTAGACAACTATTTTTTTTTAAATTGAATTCGAAATGAAATGACGATTGTTAATGTTCTGAAGATAAATTGATTTAAGATTCACATTTGATTTGCTCATATATAACAAAATAGCAAAAATAATTAAAGTTACAGTATTTGTAATAATATATTTGAGAACGTTTAAAATTTCTCAAATATTTCATTACGTTACGGGAAGTTCCAGCAATTTGTCTTAAGGCACGATGTGGAATACACCACTAGTTATGATTTTTTTTATCTGATACAAATAAAGTTATACCATTTCAATCATCAGTATAATTTCCAGTATTTCAGCGACTACAAACTGTCGTTGATTAATTCGTTCGAATAGGTAAGTAAAATAAATAAACAAACAAACAAGAGCAAATAACCCTTCTAATTTCTTGCACTCGAAACATTTTCGTATTGATCTTGCATTTAGAATTCCGCAAACTCGTTTTGTGGCATTATTAGCATTTAATTCTACCCGATGGAATAATATTGAAAACGCGATGACAATAGTAGAACAGCTCTGAAGCCAAAATATTCAACAAAGAATAATTTAATAATTGATAATAATAAATCTAGTCGAAATAGATTATGGCAACCCAAACGGTTGTCCAATATATAAGAGAAGTATTTATTAATTTATAATTCCGATGAATTTTTTATTAATATAGACCAGAAAATCGCTATCTATATTTATATGCATGTTACTACGGCTTGACATCAGGCTGTCCTTGTAAAAAGGCGGGAAAAATCTGGTAATACGTATACCAAGATTCAGATTATTTTTAGACTTACATACATATGAATTACATACATATTATTAAATTAAGAAAAAAATTCATAATTGGAACAAACGCATAGGATAGAGCGAGGCACATAGATCCAATTTGGCTTTGAGCAATTATATTGTGAAAACCAAACAAATTATTTAACAACAAATAACACATCAAACAAACAACTGTCTGACTGTGTACAGTAGAACTCCCAACTAACTCATCATTGTAAAAATGCTTTTATTTGCTTTTTTTTCAAAAATTTGTCACTGCCAGGGGACAAATAGGTCCAATGTCTTAATTTTAATTTCAAAGAAATTAAACGAAATAATCTACATTATTCAACCAATGCAAAATCTAAATGTTATGGGTACGTTTTTTTGCAAAGACTACACTATATACAACCTTGATCTGGTATTTTGTTAGAAATAGTCATCAGCAGAATTGAAATAACTAATTATTCAATTAACCTCTTGTAAATTTCTATATGACTACGTTCAGTAAAACTCCCACCTAACTCATCATTGTAAAAATGTGTTTTATTGCTGTTTTTCAAAATTTTGTCACCTTGTCTTTTTCCCTTTGTAAATGGGACAGCCAGGGAGTAAACAAGTTAAATGTCTCATTTTAATTAGAGATAACACTGTATACAACCGTGATCTGGTATTTTATCAAAAATATACATCAGCAGACTCGAAATAACTATTTATTCAATTTATTTCTTGTAAATTTGCTTTTTTAACTTAATTTGTTACTATTTTTTATTGTTTATACCTTTCTAGGGCAAAAGGTTCAGTTGGTCCTTTTTATCCCACCCACGTGTAAGCTTTTACATAGGTTATATGAAAAAAACTGTCGAATCTAATTTAAAATTACCAATACATCGTATAAAACAATTAAATAATGTGTACTTAAAAATTACATTGAGGTTTGGTAAACTAAACAACAGTGCTCACAACCAAAAAAACTAGCAACGAACAAAAATACATTTGTTATGGATTTTCAAACATTGCTACTTCAAGTCAAGTTCCAATCAAGGCTGGTTATACATCTTTTTCCCTCTACTTGCAAATATTGTTGTTGAAAATTTTTTAATTTTATTTAAAATTCATCTTTATTTACCATCTCAGGCATTATAGTTTAACACTTTTATTATCTTTCGATATACTATTACCAAGAATACATGTAGTATTTACGAAAAGCAGTAATTTTATTCTAAATATGTTTTGTTAAGGATCAAACAAACTCATTAGCTCTTCAATAAGATGAATTGTATTTGAATATTGGTAAAATAATATGTATATCGAGTATAAAGAAAATTGTATGATGTCTTGTTGCGATCTTGCATAACAGATTTCGGTTTAAAGTCGTCTTTTAAAATAATATAGAATACTCTGGTGAATTTCAAATTCACCAAAAATTAAATTTGAGAATACTTCGAGCCATAAAGTCTTACTAGGTGCGGTTCATTAATTATGTGATCCACTTTTTAAGGAATTTTGGTGATAATATTCAACGGATAAATAAATAAATAAATTTGATAAATTTATGAAATCAAAAAATTGCAAGAATCACGTAAGGTTCTTGTGCCTGTTCTTAAATTTGTTTTTTTCTAATTGATTCTGCAACCAATACTCTTCTGGTTATTACCAGAGTGTAAAGTTGTCATTTTTGAAATCAAAAATGTGTTTTGTGTCCAATGTATGTATGTATGAATATTTATATGATATGTATCCATGTTAATAATATTGAGGCTATATCGTTTATAACTTTTTAATGACTGTGTATGGCCTATAAAAAGCTGAAACGACTCCTAAGCTCATACATATTCACACACCAAACAGTCATTGTTTGCTTTGAAGCTAATGTTTTGCATCATCATGTAATTAATAATAGAAATTCCTATGTACATTTCAGTTGTGTAGAATGTGGAATATTTGATAATAAATACTACATCACATGCAATATTATGAGTTGGACTTTTGGTACGAAATTGAATACTTTATATAGAAATTTCAATCGGAAAATAATACAAATTAATGAAACAAGAAAAGATTATATTCTAATTAATTAACCTATATATTAATCCTTAATATATAGATAATTCAAAATCACTAGATATTAAATTAGTATGAATAATATATATTCGATAAAGATCGAAGTAGAATATTGTACATTATGAAAGATCATAATTGATCATACCAGATCACCATAGAATCTACAGTCATTTTGTTAAGACAATTTTCATTAAAATCTACAAAATTGCTTAAATTACAAGTAAACTATAAAGTTTATACTGAAAATGAATTTATTTAGCTCTGGCAAATAGCAATAAATATCCAAAACTAATAATGAAATTTGTAAGCAACTTTTGATATTCAAGATTTTTAATTCATTAACGATATGCAAATAATGAAACAACTGGTTGAAAATAGCATTTTGTTTTAAGGCAAGTTGCAAAAACATCCCGATAAGTGCAATAATTGATTTAATCAACTGAAAATGAGGTTTAGATATTTAGATGAAATTAATGTATATAGCCCTTGATATTATTTCATTATTTAAATAATTAATGGTAACATTTTTTACACAACTAGAGAAGTTTTGTAGACTTATTTTTCCACTGATACCAGAAAAGGTTTTAGAAATTTGTGGAATTAAAATTTTGACTCATCAAATCACAAAAGCGACTGTTGATACAAATTTTGACTCATTTTTTTCAAACTTTGAGTAAAGAGACTGGTTTAGAAATCTAAAAAGTGAATTTCTTTAATTTTGGAATAATGAAAAACGTGTATAAACACATAATTTTTGTTTGTTGGTTATCAATATAGTTCCTGAAGAAGAGGGTATCCCCGAAATGTGATTAAAAATTGAACAAATAATTTTCTCAGGTAAAATTTATGATTTAATTTCAGAAAGTTTACTTCATAATATACCAGAATAGGTATAAATCAAAGTAATATTAGAATTATATTATAGAACGAGGTCAAAAAGTAAATTTCAGTAAAAAATATATCAGTTATTTTCTCCAACAAGTTTTTTGATAACTTGTGAGACTTGTTTTAGGTTTTATAATAACGTAGCATAAACATATAACATATTTGTGAATTATTGAGAATATTTTTAAATTCTCGAGTTGACATTAAAAACCCAATTCTGCAGTAACATAGACGATAATACATCTTATCTTTCTTTCTTGATATTAAAAACTGTGAAACTGCAATCTATTTGCTACTTGCATCAGAAATATGCAGTTATCATAACATTATTTCTAAGTTTGTTTATATCTACAATACACCAGATCGCACAGTAAATAAATAGCATTTTCATAGTTTTTAGTACCAAGAAAGAAGAATATTATAGCGTTGCCAATAACAACGCTATGTTATCGTTTATGAATCGGCCCCTAAATTAGGGAATTCCTAAGAAATCCGTCAACGAAAGGAAATACAGTTATGTTGCATATCCTGTATTCTATTACTTGAACTTAGTTAAAAATTTAAATTTCAAGATCAATACGAGAACTTAAAATCCATGATCTTTGACATAGCAAAATATTTTAGAAATAAATATAATAAAATATAAACTGAATACATAATTTAAATCATAAATACCTCAATTGAATTATGTCGCCCTTGTAGCCATCTGTTCGAATTTGACTCTACTACTTCAAAACTGTTCTGCAATTGGTTCAGATCCTCACTACTGTCAAACAAACACATCATAACCTAAGATTGTTATATTGCACGTGTAACACTCGATTATTAATTTATTTATATAACAAATATGATTAAAATCGACGGATTCTGTGATTTATGTGTAGAAAGTGATGGCATCACAAAAGATTCCCTAAGAGTCACTTGCGAAAGATTATTTAACTGTGAGTTTAATAATAAATATATGTCTTAAACAATTTTGTGGTATTTATATTTATTTTACTTTATAGTAGGATATCGTACTGTGGCTATAAATCAAACTATTGATGACACTGTTTTTGAAAGTAAAAGAAAGAAGAAAAAAGGAGAAGCTCGAGATAATCCAGATGTAGTTCCAATACCATTAGCTTTCGAGTTTGCAGATGTACTCTTATAAATAACTATACTTCATATATATGCTTCAATAACATATTTTGTATTGTATACAGGAATTCAAAAAGAGACTGCAAATATTGCACAGACTCACGATCTCCTATTCCGATCAATCTAATATACATAAGTTGGTAAGGGAATCATAATCACATATTATAGTTTTCTACTATTTTGGTTAATAACTTGCTTGCTTAATTTCTTATTTATATTTGCAACTACCTATTGCATCTGTAATATTTAAATATTGTATTCTTACAGAATCAGTCATTAAATTTCAAGAAATATCATATAATAGCAGTATTACCTAATTCACAGTCGGCCTTTCAGGTACATTCAATGATGTGCAAGTATTAAGCAATTCTAACAAGTAGATTTTAATATTATCCTTTATTAGCATGCTTGTGGAGGTGCCTTCGATTTCGACATAATCACCTTCAATCCATTACACAAAAGTCCAATAAAAATGAACAGAAAGCTTTACGATGTCTTAAAGGATCGAAATGTTTACTTTGAATTAATGTACAGTCCTGCTATTAGAGATAGTACATCTCGCAAAAACATTATACATATGTCACACTTATACCATGCTTATGGTAAATCAAAAAATATAATTATTAGTAGCTCAGCTGCAGAAGCATTTCAAGTGCGATCTCCGTATGATGTAATAAATTTGTATCCTTTTGAAAGCAAAATTATGGTAATAACTTTTTACGTATGTTTGTTCTTATATTTGAAAAAAACAGAGGTTTAATTCTTGGTCTGAGTGAAGAGCAATGCAAAACTGCAATATTGAGTAATTGCAGGAAATTAATTATTAGAGCAGGTATTTTATATTTAGATGATACACATTAATTTCATAAGATCCAGTTTCTTTTGCCTCTGTAATGAATATTTCTTTATTTTTTAGAAGGTAGACGGCATGGTAAAGCAGTCATGATTGTGAAACAGTTGACGCAAGAAGCATTTATTGATTCTGACGAAAGTGATGATGATATGGAGCAACTTTTAGAACCAGCATTGAAGAAAACTAAGCTTTAATTTAAGACGGAATACTAGTACTACTTTGTTTTTAGTTGACTTATTAATTAAAAATAATTATGTATATAAATTACTGCATTAAGATAAAATGAATGATGTATTTTTTTAAAATGAATAAATTTTTTATTACAAATTAATGCTAGTACTATTTGTATTCTTATGAAAGCTTCATTTGTATTTTGTATCATTTAATTGATTCAAGTTTAAACACAAATAACTTATTATTATTTAATTAACTCATCTATTTGATAAGTTTTCAATGTTAAAATTAATATAATAATTAATACTTGGTTTTCAAAAATAACTGCACCTTGCTATATCACCTCATTATTAGTTATCAATCTAGTTCAGAATAGACAAGGATTATAAAAAGTTTAATACTATTAGTTTATAATTCCCATTTTCCACCAGGAATGTTTATGTATAGGTGTTGGAATTAATTTGTAGCACTTTTTTCACAAAGTTGCATGATTTATTATAAGAGTATCATTATTCAAAGTATTGCCCATCGTTAACAATTACTCTCTGGCATATTTTTGGTAAAGCTTAGTTACCACAACAAAAAATGTCTTTCTTTTCCATTTTTTGGTCATCTTATAGATCTAGAACTGGTGCTCTGATAAGCCAGGCAAAACAAATAATAATTGCATCGAGCCATATCTGGTGAATATAGAGGAAAGGCAGAACTTACCATTTCCACATTCCCAAATGAGTTTTCTGATCTCTCGTAACATGGGGTCTTTAATCAAACAATCATCATGTTCATCATTTGCAGGACTTTTTGACTGTCTTTTTGATTGTTTGATTGAAGACCCTATGTTACGAGAGATGAGAAAACTTATTTGGGAATGCTGAAATGGTAAGATCTGCCTTTCTTATATATTCACCAGACATGGCTCGAACCAATTATCATTTGTTTTGCCTAGCTTATCAGAGCACCACAAATTAGGTTGTCAAATATCTCCCTTCCGCTTTTTTGCTCTTGGTTTATAATACAAAAAGGCGGAAGGGAGATATTTGACAACCTTATATGAGATGACCAAAAATTGAAGAAGAATTTTTTTGACTGGTAACCAGGCTTTACCAAAATCTAGAGTTATCTTCATCATTTGGAGACGACTTTTTGACTGTCATAAAATAAAAATAACTCTAGATATGTTTCGCACAAGTTTTCATCTGGAAACGTCACCGTAAACTCATCTACCAGCCTTTTTGGTTGTTTGGGACGTTCTTGTCAAAATTTCCATTTTTGAACCGCTCAAACCAAATTTCTGCATATTTCCTCTGCGAGATAATGTTCAGCGAATACTTCTACTAAAATAGGATGACTTTTTGTGGTACTTTTCTTCATATTTAAAATGATAAAATAATAAACACTATCCGCAAAATTTACTTTTCGGGTATAACCATCAACATGTTTGACACTTCACAACGTTTGCAACAAACCGAATAACAAAATGTCGTACTAAAAATGCACTATGTCAGAAGAATATTTTTTACAAACAGTTGGCTAATGCTGTATTTTATAAAACGCTACGAAATAATTCTAACACTTATTGTTAATGAATAATATATAATGAGTGCTAATTTTATTTTGAATTTGCCCGGCAAACTGTTTTATCTTGTCTCCGTCCGAGGCGCTTGCAGACTGCTCTTCGAGTCCTATCTATCGCGCATGCGTGGCCTCTTTGGAAACCAATGAAATATTTCTACAAGTCACCACAGTGGAAAGTGGCGCTGTACAAAGCAATCGTACACGCATCAAAAATGGAGAAATGTATAATAAAACGGGTTTAAAATTTGCAAATAATTAGGTGAAAATGAATGTATCTAGTCTAAGAACTGTTGTGTGTATGTAATTTTGATCTGATATCGATGGTTGTTATATAGTTATATTTTACTTAATCCAGTAAATAAAAGTTTGTGACGGCTAAGCCGACGTGAGTGTTTGGAGTTGACTTGTAACGCCGTGTTAAGGTTGATTGCGACGCCAATGGTAAGCTCGAAATTTATTCTTTATTCATGTCGTATCGCTTGTCAAATGTGAACGTGCAATAATTATAAGTCTTTCGACGGATTTTGCTTGGCAGTTTTTCCTAAATTTTGGAATTGATTTCGTAAAAATGGAATCTATCGGCTGCGGATGTCAGTCGTACTATAAACTCGTATAATGCCATTGCGCTATTGGTTGTTTGGTAATTACAATTCCAATGCTCCCATATAAGATATCACCTGATTGGTTGTTTCGACGACAAGCTTTATAGATGTATTATTCTCACCGATTAGAAATATTGGCCGACTATTTTCGATAATTTTTTAATTTCCATGTAAATAATTCGAATCCAGCATAAATCTCTTGAAAACCGTAAAAATATGTATATAATTATCAATATGTCGGCTGGAAACTGTCAGATCCGTAATCGAATTGATTGTTAATGAATGCAAATGTCCAATTATCATTGTCGTGTATATTGAACGCTTACAATACACACGGTGTAAGTGAACAAGAATGGCCGACTGATTGCGGCCGTTTTGTGTTTTATTGTTGCCCGATTGTCTCGTAATGCTGGGGCAATCGGGGTCGTAGACATCGTGATGCATTATTTTTTCTAATAAATGCACGATGAGCAAAATTTCGAATGTCATAATGCCAATGCAAAATAGTTGCTGAATATTGCATAATTTTTTATTTGTCACTTACAATTAAATAGCACTGCGCTAAATGTCGCACCCAATTTTTATTGCAGTTATCTTATCAATCTATATCTTGTAATTTTACAGTGTTTGGGTTTTTCTGACAGGGAAAGACTATGTCGCTCTATGTATTTATTAACATCATAAGCGTATAGCTTTTCCCCTTCAGCGAAATTCTAAAAATACAACGTAAAATAATAGACACAATGTAGTATTTATTATTTTGAACAGTTTTATGAAATATAGAACTACTTTACGAAAAAATGACGTGTTCAAGTAGCTAATTAGGTTAAAGTAATTATTATCAAACAAAAATTGTTCTAAATTGCGAATTATTCCAGCTGTTTTTATTATTGTGCATCGATTTGCATATTGTTTAAATGACTAGTAAAATATATTTTTTATGAAGAAATATGCTATCTCATCTATTTGCAATAAATTTTAACTTCCAATTAAACTCACCCTTTAGTACTAACCCATAAGTAAACAAACTCTTCTTATTTTCTTCCCAAAACTTCATTTGGTTCTAAAATATAAATACTTCGTCTAAAAACCTGAATTTTATCATTGTTTAATTTATGTGATTCTTATAATGATTATGACAATTTTGAAGCATAATCTGCTCTAAACATTTAATAAAATGAAGAAAAAAAAATAGTTTATACAGTATCAATATTATTTTATTTATAACACGGAAGTTCTTAACTTAAAGTAAAAATTTAGAGGCTCTAGTTTGAATTTTTCAATTGATAACTCTTATAGTCCTACAATAACAAAATTTAGTCAATTTATATGTTGGAAAATCTTAATTACAAGAATAATTTTAAGGGCTATTAATTAATAACCTCTTGAAAAATTGTTCAGTGATATTTTCATTCTAAGTACTAGCCCATAAGTAAACAAACTCTTCTAATTTTCTTCCAAAAACTTTTTTATTTGGTTCTAAAAAATAAATGCTTGTCTTAAAAC